AGTTGAGATAAAAAAGGCATGAAAAATGGCAAAAAGGAGGGAAAATTCAAAAGGTGTAGTTGAGATGGGAAGTTGGTGTCCGAGGGGAACGAGGTCACGATAGCTCAAGTGGTAGAGCAGCGGCGTATCAAGCCGAAGATCGTGGGTCGAATCCCGCTCGTGCCATTGACTTTTTTATCTCAACTAAAAACCTTAATTAATTGTTTGGAAAAAAATTAAGTATAAATAATTAGCCTCTTAGAAGACTAAATAAAAGTTAAGTACAATTATCAATAAAAATTATTTAAACTCAAATATCAAAGAAAACAAATACATAAACTAAACTTCCTTCATTTAATTTAGATTATTTAAAATAATAACAAATTCCTCGTTTAAAGACGACAATTGATCACATTCCTCAAATTAAAAAATAAACCTTTTTAATTTTCAAACTGACCTTTTCGAACTTCAACTAAACCGTTTTTTATTTAAAATTAATCATTTCTTTAAAATATCAAAAACCTAAAAAATGATAAATTTCCTGCATTTGGAAAAAATGTAAAATAATTAACCTCTTATAAGACCATGCAAAAATTAAATCCAATTAAAAGAAAAATTCTATAAAATTAAAAATTAAAACAAATTAATTAAGGTTTTAAGTTGAGATAAAAAAGTCAGTGTCACGAGCGGGATTCGAATTGAATGTAATTAATTGGACCACGAAAAATAGTGGAATTAAAACAAATAATTCATCCTTAAATTTGATATTTTTCTTAAATATAAAACAACTGGTCCCTTAAAAACCTGGTTCAACTTACAAGAAGAATTATTTGCTTTTATAATAAATTTTATATAATTTTTTATTTCAATTGCTATTAATTTTTATATGACCTTTTAAGAACCAAATTATTTTCTTTTTTTACATATGCATGTTTTTAATATTGTAAGGAAATGGTTAATTTGAAATTAAAAAGGGAAAATTTGATGTTGAAAAAGGTCACTTCGTTTGATTAGCAAAAAGGCAATATTTATTAAACTTTTAAGTCATTAGCAATGGTTTTTAAGTCCTGGTAAAGGGGACAAATTCCTCACAAGCATCACGAAGAGCTGAGTGTTTTTCTTTCTTTCCAATTTGCCTTATCCCTAATCTTTTTATCAATTTGCTTTCCAAAACTTCTATTAAATCTGACAAACAGCAGCAAGTATTGAACACAGCCTTGTGTTCTTCTATCCTAACAGTCCTGTTATTACAATTGTAAATTAAATTCTAACATACTGGGCCTATCAAACAAAAAGGTGACATGACTAGATAATATAAGTAATAGGAAAAATAAAAGGGCTGTGAAAATAATACACAGATGAACCGCAGGTAGACAGACCAAACAGGAGAGAAAATGAGATATCAGGTAGTTAATCCGCAATACCTGTTCAATTAATGTTCCTAGTCTAATCCCCCAAGTATCTCATTTTACAAAAAGCAAAAAGAATCGTGTAATTCTTCCAGTTCTTGTGCCAGATGTCGAATGTGTTTATTTTTTCAAAGTAATGACTAATAGTTTGTCCACCGACCAGACGGGCGACAGGTGATTATGGTTCGGTGGAACTGGTTTACTATTTCACAACCAAAAAGAGCTCAGTGACAGGATCCAGAGGGCGATTATTCATTTTAGTATGATTTGTAACGTATGTAAATTTCATTTTAATGCTTCGAGACGACGTCGGATTTCTAATCGATTAAACTGTTTTTTTAGGGAAAATTTTTATCCAGTCACGATGAACATGTGGAGGAAATATTGGTTTTAACGAAAAATTCATTATGATTTTGAACACTTGATTTTTTAAATTAGTATTTTGGTTGAAATTTTGTTTGTTTTCTAAAAAAGCCACTGGAGGAAAACGCAGTGCTTCTCCGTCTACGGGTATAAAATATTAGGCGAGTCGGTTATAATTACAAGTGTCACTAATTTATAGCACCTCTGAGGCTTCTGTCGAGGACCCCTGGGGATGAAGGTTCGCCACATTCGAAATGTTAACATGTCTTCTCGAAGAATTATTATTTACACGCTTATTGGGCGTGTTTCCACTTAGTTTCCGCTTCCCATGGGGGATTTTATTGTATTTTGTGGTTTCCTGTCTCCTCTTTGCCGGGATTTCCGGAAGGAAAGCGTTCTTCTGATTAATCGGCGTTGGATTAACTTTTGTAGCTGGTCAATAGATATATTCAGAGATCATCAATATTACGACGAAATCTAGAAAGTCTAATTTGCATTTCTAACAAATTGTGAGGTTATTAAATAATATATTACAATCAAGTGATTGGTAGTAGTTACTAAACAAACGTCAAAAATATGTTCTAACTTCTTCCTGTTAACACTCTAAATCAACTATGAAGGTTTGATAAATAAGAGTTATATGCACATATAATATTGAGAGAGTGATTAGCTGAGATTCAAAACAGGTTTCCTATCTCTATCGAGAAAATACGATATTAAAAAACTAAAACAAAGGACTTTTCCAACAAAAAAACGAATATATTACAATATATCTATCTATATTATTGTTATCGATTATCTGGAGATCGTGAGATGCGGTCTGGTGTGAAGTAGGTTTAGAAAAACATTTTCTTTATCGTGCCTACGTTTCGATAATTATTGAGATCATCTTCATCAAATTAAACAAATACATGTAGGATGTGAAAAAATGAATTTATGATGTGAAAGGTTGAAAACAACTTACTGTGGCGTAGGAACTACCTTTTTCCAAAAATCGAAAAACACACTCCACCATTTATTTTTTCTAATGTGTTTTTCCACATCCTACATCTATTTGTATAATTTAAACAATGTTGATAAATCCCAGGCCCTGAAGATGATCTCAATAAAGATCGAAACGTGGCACGATAAAGAAAATATTTTTCTAAACCTACGTCACACCAGACAGCATCATCTCACGATCTCCAAATTATCATTAACTAACGGTCACTAAACACCACACATTATTGTTATCTATGAAATTTTCATAGAAAGTGTGATTTGAGAATCTACAGTTTATTGTTCAAATTGTTTTAAAATGAGTTGTTTACTGCACCCTTTCCGTCCTACTGACAGCCCTGTCTCTGGAACTAACATATAAGTTATAACATTTAAACATTGAAAGATCCTCGGTGAATTAAAAAAAAATCACTATATTGTGACAAAACGTCCCAAAGATTGGTGAAATTTACTAAAATTTCATTTTATAGGCTTTCAAACTTCGGTATGCTTTGTAAGATTGGCTTAGACCACCAATAAAAAGTATATATATCATGGGTTAATAAATCATATTAATTACATTTTTTATTTCTCTTAAAACCTTCATTTTCCCATGATACTATCTGTTTTGGAGATTTTACCTGCAAAATTTACGTGCTTATATTTCATACCATCGAATTTTTCAAGTTACAGCGTACTTTTTAGGTGCAACTACATCATCAAAGAATGAATATCAATGAATTTCATACCAACTCGTAAGTTTCTTAGGGCTTTAAAGACAGACGTTAATTTAAAGTTAATAAGGGTTAATTTGAAATTTTAAAAATAGGTTAATTTGTCGGGAAAAAAACAATGTACCAATAATTTAATCTATTGATGATGACGGTTGGGTCGCACCTGTCCTCATTTATTAATGATCAAAAATAATATACGATAACATCGGGGAAAATGCAGTAAATGAGATATTTATGTATACATGAAATTACGATTGATCATCGCAGCAAAAATTATTTAGAATGGACGTTTTATTGCATAACAACATACAAATTTCTTCTATTCTGGATGGAAATCAGCAGTACTTCTAATTTGACAAAGGCTACTCTACCGTTTCAACTTTAGCATTAATTCCCTAATTTCGTGGTCCGCTTGACCAAATAATTAAGGTTTTTGAACAAAACAAAAAACAAAAAAAAGGCAAAAAGGAGGGAAAATTAAAAAGGTGCGGTTGAGATCGGAAGTTGGTGCCCGAGTGGATCGATAGCTCAAGTGGTAGAGCAGCGGCGTATCAAGCCGAAGATCGTGGGTTCGAATCCCGTTCGTGCCATTGACTTTTTTATCTCAACTAAAAACCTTAATTAATTTTAGCATTAATTTAATCTAATTCAACATTAAATGTCAAAGATATGATAAGAGCGAGGGGAAAGGATAGACAGGAATCGTTACGTTTGATTAATGAGTCAAAGATGATTTTATGGGCATACTCGGGTAGAAGATTATATTTTCAAAGGTTGTATATTCGGCATAAAGAAAGTCATTAATTATACAGATTATGTAAGACGAGTGTATTTTTACAGCAATGGCTGACGTGTAGACAGAGTGAATTTGTCCAATCCGGTTATAAAGAGCAATGGATAAATGGAGGGATGGTCTTAGGTTGGCCATGACGGTGAGGAAGAGCGTGTAGGGGGCAGTGGATTAATTAAAACCCACATGACGTGGTAAGTTGATTATCCCCTTGGGAAAGGGTGGTGTTGGGGGACGGTTGTGTTGATTTCATTAGCCGTTGGGGGCGGTCTGCCAATTGGCATCATTCCTGCATATTCATCACTCGCCGCCCCCGGACTAACCTCACCTATTATTGCTTCCTGCCTCATACATCTCTCCGCCCCAGTGTTAAATTTAACCGTGAGAGTAGAATAAATTCAAATTCAACTCTCGACTACCCGATAGGGCATCCCTCATTCTAGAAAAAGTTAATTGGGCCCCCAGTACAACTATAACAAAATTCCCTCCATAACTTTTTTTTTCGTTTGAGCAATTCACCAGAAAATGCAGTTTTGGGATACACATTAAATTTTTTTTTTTATTGGATAAAATGTGAAAAGCATTGGTTCCCAGAAGCTTCAACCTTGTTCTGTGCTTTGCTATTGAAAATATTGAAATCATTACGGAAAAATCAGGGTAGCCTGTTTCTAAAACGCTCATTATTAACGTACCGGAAAAGCTTTCATACATATAATATTTTAAAAATTCTAAAAAGAGAAAAATTGTCTAAAACAGACTTAAAATTTGGCTATTGAAAATTCTTACCTTGAGTTTAATAAGTTTAGGATTTTCAGCTGCCATTTTCACTATCGCCTGGTAGTCGCACTGGGCGCATTTCACTATCCATTCCTTGCTTTTTCCATCGAGCTTGAAAAGATTTTTATCATTTTTCCATCCATGGGAATTCTATTGTTACCTAACTATACTCACCAGAGCGACAGATCCACTGTCATCCTCGTCTTTGTCGACCTGAAAAATAAATTAAATTATAAGTAAATTTTTTATTTTAATTCCTTTTCTTAATTTACTGTTGTCCTGACATATGTCTGAAATATGAGGTTTCCGCTTTTTCAAAATCAAGAATAGCTAAAAGAATAATCATGACATTCCTTGCCTAACACTTTAAAAAGGCATAAATTCGTCAATTTTCAACGAGACAATCTTCTGATTTTTTTTCAGGAACCAATCTAGTTTCCTAAGCTCAAGATAAAAATTAGGATACCATTTGAAATTTGCGTTATGGTTTCGGTAATACCCCGTATAAAAATTACAAATTTGGCTACGAATTCTAATAATTATATTATATAATTTTTACGCCAAAAGTGAAGGGGAGTTGCTACGAAAATTTCGTTTGATTCTTGACTTACTTTTCAGCTGCATAAATTTTTATTATTATTTCATACGGATTAAAACTATAAGGTATCGCAATATTTCCCTGTTAAGTGTGTCGATATACAGAGTCAGCCCCTTGTTGTTCTCCCTCTTTATAAACGACCATCCTGATGTATTTGAGTTTGGTATTTCGTGTTCTATTTTATTAATTAAATGTGTTCTCTACGCTGACGAATTAATCATCCTGGATATGTCCCGCTGCTTATCGGAGGAACGTTGTCGCATTGGAACATTATTTCCCTCAATAAAACCTTTCTGTCAATTTAAATAAATAAAAAAATAACATAGTTTTGCGAAGGGTAGGAAGGTTGGCACGTAGGGATCACGGTGGCCACAACGTTTTAGTCGTTGACACGGCGTTCATCGCTGTAAGGTAAAGGTCCCAGGTTCGAATGCAGGGCCGCTGGATTCGAACCCGAAGCCACTTAGGGCGTACATACAAAAACAATTCAATAATCTATATTTGTTTAGGGGGTCATAATTGACCATATTAATTAATTATTCTTTTTATCTAAGGTTTTTGGTTGAGATGAAAAATTAGTACGGGGGGGGATTCGAACCCACGACCTTCGGCTCAATACGCCGCTGCTTTAACCACTTGAGTATTCTGACTTCAAGTCCGAGGTCGTGGGTTAGAATCCCGCTCGTGACACTAATTTTCCATCTCAACCAAAAACCTTAGATAAAAAGAATAATTAATTGGAATAACTGTTAATTTTGGTTGGGACAACACGCTATTTATAGGACATTTCATATCATATTTAATTTTTTTACACTTGTTGATATAATTTCCACCTGTATTAAAAATATTAAAAAACAATTTCACGGTTCGGAAAAGGAAAGATGTGATATAGGCACAATGTGGTATTTGAGGAAGAGTAATTAATAGGTTTTAAATAGGAAAATCTTGTTAGCGGATCTTGAAATTGAAGGACTCCTTCTAAGGGTACGTCCCGGGTTCGAATCCAGCCGCCCTGCATTACCCTCGAAAAAAAAGGATCCCTGGTTCTTCGAAGGAAAACGAATCGTTGTGAGGAAGAAGCATTTAGTCTTAGTAATATCTCGGGTTCATGTTCACGCCAAAATTCTCTCTGACTACTCATCATAAAAATACAAGTCACACGTCCAAATTTGCTGTTATGTCGGTTTAGTCCACCCGGCTCTCAAATTCTCTATCCTACGCTTCTCAGGTTTGGAGTCACCTATGTTTTGATTTAATCGAATCCATTCTACTAAATTTTCTTTAAAATTATTTTACCTATTTTGTGCTCCGAACTACTGTACTTGGAAACATCAACAGACCCTCTCTTTTTTACTATACCTTAAAGCTTCACCTTTTATATGCAGGCACTTGGCAGGACCCTCTCCTTACCTGAACCCAGACTACCTACAAATTACCTAAGTGATTAATGCAAACTTGTCCTGATTTAAAACGCCCAATTCACATGGATTTGTTTTTACTGATGTATCCATGAAGAATGGTTTTCAATATTCTCAGTTTTTGAAAATTCGTTTGTTCCAGACAGAAGTTGCTCCGTATTAGCTCGCATATCCAATAGATTTCTGATATACAAGGAACTTGACTATTGCTTGCTTTAACTTAAACAATAAAAATCTAATGTTGTACCCTAATAATATACGATAGTTCTTCAAACTTAGGTACGAGCTGTTGCACCCTAATTCTCCCCATTGAGAGATTATACCGTTGTTCGCTGTTAACTGTGCAACTCTTCCGCAAGGTAAGGATTATTTATTTATATTTATTTATCTCACATTACATCTAGAAGGAGCTCAAAGACCTAGCTCGTATTAAAATAATTTGCACTTGAACCTAAAAGAAAAAAGTTTAATCGCCACATCAGTTGATCCAAACGTCTTATTATCTTAGCATTTTTACCCAAAAAACGAAAGTTATTAAGTCACAAAACACATTCCTCATTTTTCCACCTCCCCCCCAATGATAAATTACACGGCCTAATGACCGGCAACAGTAAACACCCTCTTACTTCCTCCGAACTTCCGATGTCGGGAGATAATCCAGGTCGAAGCGGGGCAAACAAAAAAATTCCAGACAATCACCCCAATGGTTTCCGGCGGTGTAATTGTAGGGTTGGTTTAAAGAGGCCTTAAAAAGTACTTACCATTCCATTAGCGGTTATTAAGCCGCCTATTACAGTTCGCCCACCCCCGTAATAACATCTATCAAAACAGTAGTCGGACCTGCCAGGCTGAAACGTTCTCAAAATTTTACGCAACGGACAACTCGAATTTGAAAGCTCTTCCTTGGAGGCGAAAGGTTAATTAAAGTAATAAATAAAGGCTGGAGCAAAACAAGATAACCAATGAAATACACGAATGCGCAGTTTAAAAAATCGCTTTTATCAGACGAGGTTATAAACAAAACTAAATATTCAAGCATGTCAAGTATATTTATGACGATTCGATAACCCTATACCAATCTAATTGGACTATCAATAACTCATAAAAATTACAGACCAAAAATCCTGATTATTGTTTTCCTTTAATCAGACCAAAATGAACTAAATAACGCTGGCGTTGTTTAGTCGGCAAATGGATGAACTCATCAACATTGGTCAATATTTATTCAGAAATCGTGAGATGCGGTCTGGTGTGATATAGGTTTCAGAAAAACATTTTCTTTATCGTGCCAACGTTTCGATCTTTATTGAGATCATCTTCAGAGCCTGGGATTTACAAACATTGTTTACATTTAACAAATACATTTAGGATGTGGAAAAGGGAATTTATACAATGCAAAATTACACAGAAGACAAACACTTTGAGTGAGTAGAAATACTTTGATTGAATATAAAAAATATATTTTGCACACTGTTAAATGTAAACAATGTTTGGAAATCCCAGGCCCTGAAGATGATCTCAATAAAGATCGAAACGTTGGCACGATAAAGAAAATGTTTTTGTGAAACTTACATCACACCAGAAGGCATCTCACGATTTCTGAATAATTATCGATTAACAGTTACTAATCACCACACATTGGTCAATATTTTTAATTATCATGCAAAGTTTGGTTGAAATAATAATTAAAGTAATTACTTTGGTTAGTAAAACCATGCAAAAACATATAATAGATTAATTGTTCAACATTCTGAGTTTATTCACACAGTTTAAGTTGTAAAATGTTGGTTTGAAAAGCATTCGCTCCTTAGTAAAAAGTGTGTGAATCAGCGAGAATAGAAATCCAGAAAAGTGACAAGAGATGAACACAAACCATCTATTCTTTACGTGTCATCCTCATCATTTTATTTTTCATAGTGAACTTACGATAAATAACTCACGAGATAAGCCAAGTAACATTTATTTATTAGCAAGCATAAGAAAGTATTTTGTACAAGAATATAAAAAAAAATCAAAATGTATTTTCTCATTGGAAAATGATGTACATACATACAACTTGTTCTTGGTATACCAATAATAAAAATGGCAGATAACTAAATAAATCTTTAATGAATTTTATACCCAATACTCCATAGTAAGTTCTTCGTTGAACTTCATTACAGCCTATTTGGAAAATCAGGAGCCTAAATGGGTTTTTGGAAGTGTGGAGGAAGCTATTTGAATGACGATAGAAATATCGTGGGTGAAAAAAAGAAAGGAGTAGAAATTAGAAGTCCCGAATTAATGGAATGTTGAGATCTGTGTGGATGGTGAGATTAGATATAAAAAAAGGGACATGGAATATTTTCCGAAAGATCCTGAATTCGAGAACTTAGGTTCTTTTGATGTTTAGTTAAACCCCGGAGATCAAGTCCGTAAGTCCTTATTGGTTTAAATATTGCGTTGTATATCGGTTAAATAATTGTTTAGATCGTCGGACAAATTACGTGGAGCATCTTTTAAGTTCTAGTTTTGAGTACTTTCTTTACGTGAGTCTCGTTAAGAAGATGTCCCAGGACATTATTAGAATCATGTATGAGGATCTACCTGATTATTTTTATCTTCCATTTCTCGTACCACACTCCTAACTGAGAAATATATGTATATTCAGTACTAGCGTCCAAAATTACGAGCAATGAGACTCACCTACGAAGTACTTCTCGGTCTTTCAAGCTAAAATATTCTTAAATCTTAAAAAGATTACAGTGACAAAAAAATCCTAAAATCAGTCAACAAAAGCATTAGCATATATAAATGTTACATCCAAACCCAAAATATATGCGGTTACTTGCCCAAACATAGGTGGTGAACCAGTAGGCAAAGAGATTTAACCCCTCGTTCCCCAAAAATAAATAGTTCAAGAGGTACAAGTAGTTTAATAAATCAAACATAAAATAATGAATATCTGCGAAATGGTGGAAAAACGGACGACGGTTATATTCGTTATAGTTATATGTTGGGGCTGCTTCCCTATCTGAACTAAGTAATAAATGAATGAATAGTTCATTCGAACTTTTTTCTTGATTTGAGGAGTAGAAGCACACTGACTTACTTGGTTACGAGTAGTGACACCCTGTACATTATATATAAGTAACAGCTCAAATGGAGACAAGTGGACCATAAAAAAAAATATTTGCACAAGAATAATGACATCAATA